TGCGCCTGTCCGTGACCACGAGAAGAGTGATTATCATGAAGTTTACTGACTCCTTCGGGTAACATGTTGTTACTGTCGTTGTTGTTGTTGTTGTCGTTGTCGTTGTCGTTGTTGTTGTCGTTGTTATTCTTGTTGTTGCTGTTATTGTTGTTGCTGTTTTTGTTTTTGTTGTTGTTGTTGTTGACTGTGGTATAGTTACTGCTGTTATCGTTGTCATCGTTGTTGTTCTTGTTATTTTTGTTGTTATGCGGATGCTCTGGCGTGGTATGCTACTTCTTTCCTATCAATCTTCTGTCGTCCTCATCTTTCCTCTTTCTTTTTCGTGTTTGATCCTCTCTTGTAACACCTCTAATTTTCGGCACTTGTATGACCTTATTGTCATGTTGCCAGTGCCGTGAAACTCTTACTGTCTTACTAATACTAATCAGGTTTATGTTTTCCCCCAGCCAGTCAGCTGCGATGTGTGAAATCGAGTCTCTCCAGCTTTTGGACGTGTGCACTGTCGTCTCCGACACGATTGGATGTGGACGGACACCCACGGGGCTGCTGAAGGGCGCTTGTTTTCCTGGTAAATAACACATTGTGAAATTATACACATTATTTTTTTCTATACAATCGAACCTGCTCTATCAGTCGTCTGTCCAAGACAATCGCCTGTACAAACGACTCACTTGCTTTTTAAAAAAACAAATAATCACTCTGTCAAAGATCCCCCCCCCCACCTGTCAAAGCCACTTTTCTCCGGTACGTTGAGCAGCTGCTTTTAGAAATTTTCGATTGTATGTTTAACGCCCTTTGTATAATTGAATTTTTCCCCCCATGAGGTGGGGCATTCGAAATTAACGTTGCTTTCCAATAGCACCGAGCTAAATGGGAACATTCGCGCAAAGTGCCTTTCTTGAGGACACAATGCACAATGTCGGACCGAGCTCAGTCTCGAACCCTATACCCGCAATCTGCCGATTACGAGTCCAGTTGCCTAACCTTTAGACTATTGACGCCGTACACGGAAAGTGAAGGTTTTGTTTTGGTAAGTGTTTTACGGCGCTCGCAATTGCATAAGGTCATATGAGTTCGCGGGACACATTAAACATTTTCAGTGGGTGGGAAAACTTGGAATTTTGCCTGGGTGGGGGCCGAAGCTCACACTTATCGATTTTGGACCTCCAAGGGATCTTTAACCTGCGCATCCTACCATAAGATCGGGGGTGTGGCTGAAAGACAGCAGTAAGAAGGAAGCAAGGAGAAGCACTAGAAAGGCTTCAGAAAGAGTCAGGAGCCCAGAGGAGGTGGGCAAAGCAGGTGAGGGAGTGGGGACAGAAAGTGGAGACGAAAGCAGACGACAGAACGTTGTTAGATAGCAAGAGAGGATGTGAAAGCAGAAAAGTTAAGAGAAGAAAATTTTCCGTCGTTATCCGGATTCGAACCCGGGAGCTATTGAATAAGAGGCGAACACCATGTCTTCTATCTAGGCCACGTGAGCCCCCATTGGAAGTTTAAGAAATTGTAAGTCTTTTACACCCTGAACGACACAACTGAGATCATTTGGATGACTAGTTACTCCGACCATGCCTGTTAGGCCATCCCCAGGTGAATGTGTGAGGCATAGCAACCCAACAGATGGATGGAGTTGCCCGAAGAAAAATAATAACCCTCCAAAAACCCAACCCCAAAGAACCCACCCCCCAAAAAACCCAAAAAAAACCCAAACAAAACAACCCCAACCCAACAACAACAAACAAACAAGCAAAAAAAACAACAACAGCAATAACAAAACACCCCCCCCCCCC